CCCCAAAACCCCAAAACCCCAAAACCCCAAAACCCCAATTATTCACTGAAATGTTGAATGTCTAGCTTAATAACTTTTGCTTAATTCCAGCCAGATCCTTTGCTTGATCCAAGAACACTATGGTTTTAGTGAAAAATTACCTCCATAAAAGATCTCAAGCTTGGAATAGACAATACCATAATCAATATTTATCTCCTTTATATCTTGACTGGGGTTTATCACTGCTTCTTCACCATCTTGCTCATAGCAGACTCAGTAAGGAGCTTTGATACGACTATAGCAGAATTAGAAAGATTTTATCTTACTTTTCACTCTCTCTTAATCTTTTAAATCTTTGATTTGGCATAAAATCTTGATGGAACTCAATAAATAGTCTACAGATTTATTAAAAATTACCTCTTTTTCACATACTCCTTCAACTTTTCTTTAGTGTTATTTGTCATCTTCGGCAATTAGATTGTAGATCAAGAACTCATAAATTCTGCAGCAGCAGACAAGTTCGCATTTAACAGCAGTTCCCATTGCTTGCATTTCTTCATTGCTTCTTTGGAAAACTGTTAGCAAATTGGTGTCATCAACTTGTATAAATTCATGGTCGGAATTCATTAGCTTTGATAGCTGCCCTTGCTTCAAGAGGGTTTTCAGTACACATTGGTTGTAGATCTTACTCATGACAAAAGTTGGAGATTCTAGAGTAATCTCAAAGCATTCTGGGTTAGCCATAAATCTGCTATAGATTATGTCGAAGAGCTGATAGCCTAATCCTTTCTTTTGGTAGTCTGGTAAGATAATAAATTGACTAATCCTTGCACGAAATTTGTGCAAATTGTGGTAAGACTTGGAAATTGTAGTGAATCCTATGAGAACCTTGCTATCTTCCTTGACCTCGAATAAGCAGTAGAGCTTCCAGTAGGGTGAGTCTTCTATAATTAGAGTGTTTTCTATATCGATGAAGAGATAGTATTGGTAAGGCAAATGAAAGTCCCTCCAAAAAGTAGGCTCTTTCTGATGAAATTTTATAACTTCAAATTCCTCTCCTGTCTCGAAAGTGAAATTTGCTACAAGTTTTTGTGGAATTGTCAGAGGTTGAAGTTCCTCAATGACCCATTGCTTAAATTGTTCAAAATCTTGTGTAAAGAACGGTCCTTGTGTATCAGAATTTTTCTGACTAAAATGACTCTCAAGGATCTTATCAGGCTCATCATAACACTCAGCTCTCCTCTCATACGTATAAGCTCAGTAAACCCTTAACCTCTGTGGTGTAAAATAAAGTCTGACTCTTGGATTTTTTATCCCTTTCAAAATTTCTACATCAATCAAATTCTTTGCGTTCTTAATCACTGCATACTCTACAAGTGCTTCTATCTCCTGCAGCTCAGCTTTCTCCCTCACATAAGATACTGTGATGACTTCTTCTATTGGGCATCTGAGTCCTCCAAATTCTTGCTGAGGCTCAGTAGTGGAGTCTTCTTCTTCACGCTCAGTGAATTTGAATCTTTTGTGTAGAGTTGGCGAGGAAAAGGCCATTTTTATGTAAAAATGTAAATTATGAGTGGGGATTGGGGTTTTGGGGTTTTGGGGTTTTGGGGTTTTGGGG